TAATTAGCTGTAATGGCATGGATGTTAGAATTATCAGATTTGAAGGAAACATAAAAGTAAGTTAATCAAATGAGATACGAATCTGGATGTGATTGTGTATTTTGATCATATAGATATGATATAGGCAAGGAGATAAATATTTATGTGTTTTAAAGAAAATTTTGAAGGAAAAAAATACAAGCAAGATACGATAAGAATGAGGTTCTGTATAAGTGAAGTTGATTAGTAAAGTTATAAAGATATAATAAAGACTGGTAATCAGAGATAAGTTTAAGTGATAGGAAAAGAGTATGTGAACATGAAAGAAAGATATGATTGGTGTATAAGAAGATTTGAGTTATGAAAAAAATGAAAGGATGAGTTTAAAGAATTAGATGTGAAAGATTATGTTGAGATATAGGTTATAAGTTTAACCAGAAGTAAGAAAGGTATGTCAGGTAAATGAGAAATGTTTAGTTATGCAAAGTGTATGTTAATCAGTATGATGAAGATTTAAGTTTATGTTCTGGTCAAGTGGATGTAGTCAGAGAAATGAATAAGGATTTATATGTATTAAGGAAGTTTTGGAGTCAGTCAGTAAGGATGAAATAAAAGTTTGGTGATTCTTGAAAGACAATTGAAGATTGACAAGGAATTTGATTGATTTATGAGTTTGAGTAATAAGAATTAATGTTATTGTATATCTGATAAGTGACATGATAGCAGATAGAAAGATATGATTGGTGTATAAGAAGATTTTGAGTTATGAAAAAAATGAAAGGATGAAGTTTAAAGAATTAGATGTGAAAGATTATGTTGAGATATAGGTTATAAGTTTAACCAGAAGTAAGAAAGGTATGTCAGGTAATATGAGAAATTGTTTAGTTATGCAAAGTGTATGTTTAATCAGTTATGATGAAGATTTAAGGTTATGTTTCTTGGTCAAGTGGATGTAGTCAGAGAAATGAATAAGGATTTATATGTATTAAGGAAGTTTTGGAGTCAGTCAAGTAAGGATGAAATAAAAGTTTGGTGATTCTTGAAAGACAATTGAAGATTGACAAGGAATTTGATTGATTTATGAGTTTGAGTAATAAGAATTAATGTTATTGTATATCTGATAAGTGACATGATAGCAGATATAAAGTAAAAAGGTAGTCGAATAATTGAAAAGATAAGAACCAAGTTATTAAAGATGATATAAAAGAATAAGTTCAGAAAGCAGCATGAGAACGTTAGAAGATATGTTCTTCTCAAGATGTGCAGTGAAAATTCGAGGATGAATTTTTAAAAGGAGGGGAGATTTGTAACATCCCAAATTATGGGTTAGTGACCAAATTGTAAAGTTTCAGAATTTGATGACTAAAGTAGAAGAATAAAATAGTTCAATGATTATTGGATATATATATATGATGAAGGTTATTTAGTAATTATTAAAGGAAATAAAGGGCAAAAAGGTCAATTGACCAAGAAATGAATTAAAATGGGATTGGTAGGATAAATACACGTGGAAATGGAGAGAATTCTCCAGAGTTCTGATCTAACCTTCAGTAAGAAGAAACAAACATGTCTTGCTCCTCTTATCTCCTCTTCCTGCTTTCCTGAACCTACGTGTGAAACACTCACACAAAGTCATAAACTTAGTGAGACATATAAATACATATGTAAATTATCAAATGCATGTACATATCATGTAATACAACGTCATACTTGTATACATACTTTTTTATGTAACAATTACATACACACATGCATGTCATCATTTATTTTCATACTCTTATATGATTATCCTTTCTATCTTATCTCTTGTTCCTATGATCTTATTTCATATTCTATATCTTATAACACGTTCTGACATCATCATATGAGTCATTGATATTCATTCATATATATATATATATATAATATATATATATATATATATATATATATATTAATATATCATGTACATCACATAACAAATGCCATAACCATAACACACATTCACATATATCCTCATATAAAACATATAACACATTTATCATTACAACTCCCATTTTATTGTTATCCTTTTTGGTTATCCCATGCACACTACTGAGAACTTAAGGTATGTGAGTACATAGAGGTTGTGCACTATGTTGTCACCACAGCTCGTATAATTCCCACTAGGGGCGTGTAGAATTTATCCTGAAGGACCACGTAGATGTCCCGAAGGACCATATATAATACATATGTCCTGAAAGACCACTATGTCCCAAATGACCGCGTAGACCCTCGACTCTTGGCATGTCAACTATACCTATAGCTCTCATAACACATGACATGGGCATTATCTTTTGCCTCATTACACATTCACATATTCATTTCACATAGTTCTTTTACATAGCTCTCTATCGCATTTCATATGATCACATAGTCACGTAGTTTACTTTCACGTAGAATTTTTCCATGAAATTCACATTATTCATCCTTTTCACACATGGTCACATCACATAGTTCTTATCATTTCATATAGTTCATATAAACCTTTTCTCATATGCATATAACATATTATTTCTTATCTTTTAACGTATATTACATATGTATGAAATCTTATGACGTATTATCAATATCTCATAGATTACTATCATACAACACATATCTCATAACATGTAATGCAACAAGGTATATTCACTTAGATCACAAACATAGAGATGCAATTACATCTAAACATATGCATAGACTCGAATTTCTCTGATCATCATATCACTACATGCTTACATCTGGGTACTCATATTACCTAATATCAGAATTAGACTTCTCGCAAGTCATAATTCCTTAACATAACTACACTTCATATCATGTACTCACCTGATCACCAATAACACTACCAAGATCTTTCTCTTTCTTGCATATCTTACTCTGATAACCTATCCGAACTTTGCTTTCGATCGATGTCTACACAATCATGTATTAATACTTATCAGTATCCAATTGATATACTATAATCTATCAATTCTTAGGCTTGAATAAAGATTTATTCCATTTCTCATTGAAGTGTATCGGTACATTCCACAGTGTATCGATGTATCCCTTAAAATGTGCATCGATGCACTACCCCATGTATCAATACACAATTTACATTCGATGTTCCATTTTAAGGGGTGTATCGATGCACTCCCTATGCATCGATGCACTCTCTATGCATCGATGCACTCATTGCATTTGATGTTCATTTATTTGAGAGTGCATTGGAACACAATGAATGTGCATCGATGCACACAACCCAGAAATTCCAGTAAGTGCACGAAATTCACTTTCTTTTAAGCTCAACTCTTCATATTTCATCCCCTTTTATATTCTTAACTCACATACACATATTCAAACTCATTTCTATTCATTAATCACCTCTTTAGCATCAAAATCCTATTCTCCATATATAATTCAAGAATTACACTAAATTTTCAACATGTTCCAAATTCAATTATATTGTTTCTAACTTCTTAATTAGACCATTGACAAGTCAAATTTGGTCTGGAAATCCCGTAAATGTCTTTCTACCAAGATTCATTTATTCATTCCTTTCTTAAATCCTTTAATACCTTTCCTCTTATTGTTTTATGATAAATTAAGCTTCCCATAAGATTAAGAGTCACTTGATAATCAAAACCAAACTTAAAATTCAACAAGAAATCAATTAACCAGAAACTCACCTTTGCTCTTGGCTTCCTCGTGAAGAAGAAAGAAAAATTAAAAGAGAAGAAGAGAACTCTGGAGAAATCTCTCCCTTTCCACGTGGTTCCCTTATCTTATAAAGGAAAATAAAAATCTTACTTGTCAATTGACCATTTTACCTTTTAATTCATTCATAATTACTAAAACAACCTTAACTATATTCCAATAAGTCATTGAACTATTAACTATTCTACTTTTATCATCAAATTTCAAAAATTATCATTTTAGTCACTGACCCGGATTTCGGTATATTATAATCGATACTCTTGGGCTAGTATTGATATTTTCGATTTGTTTCAGGAAAAAAGGATCGTTTTAAGGGAATTTGACCAGAGGCACCCCAATACTTCAATATATTATCAAATAAGACTACAAGTGAGAATATTTACGATGTTTAATTCAAACATAGAAACCAAAGAATTAGGGTGACATAAAACTAGCCTTGGTTGATGCTCGGGAAATAATTTGGACACTTGAGTTCCTCTAGTTTAGGGTGTCGAAAGTATAGATGCAATCCCGATATCCATAGGTAGGGTGCAAGGCCCTTAAAAATGATTAGCTAGGGCGTAAGGTTCGACACTCGCGAGGGGTGGGCTAGTCGGGGGTATGGTGTCCGATGTAGAATTCCAAGGGCCATATCCTCAATAGACTAGAGGGGTGCGTGAGCTCCGAGATACAGAAATCCCTCAGCTGTACCATGATGTCTACCATAGCGTAGAGAGTGAGTATCGCAAGGATACTCACTAATGTTTTTGATGATGCATTGAATTGTTTTCAACTATTAAAGTATGTTGTAAATGTACCCCTGTTAGTATTTTAGTTGTTAGTGTGGCTCTGGGCTAGTTAGCTCAGTGTTTGGAATTTGTTTCCTTACGCAAATTAGGTGAAGATTAGTAGAGGAGCCTTTTGACTAGAAGAAATCCAGATCAAACAACAGAGCAGAGTACGTCTCAAATTTCTAGAGGGCATGTACTCAAAGTTTCTATTTTGTAATTTGAGTCGTAAATTGTTTAAAAACCTGGTCAGTATATTTGATTTATTTTGTAATTGTGGAGCTCCCGACTATAAAATTTTTTTATATGGTTTTATTAAACTATTTTATTGCAAGTATTTACACATAAAGCTTTAATTTCAAGTGAGTATGATCAAGGAAATTTGTTGGTTAGTCACTCGGTGGTTCCGTGGACACTCTCATTAGTCGACTGTGTGTCGTACTGGTGTAGAGTGTTACAGTTAATTTTCATCTTGCATTTAATGATCTAAAGTTTGCTTTTTGGTTCCTTGTTTTGTCTGGTTGGATGGTTGTGATATGATCAAGTGATGATGGATCATATTTCAATATTGACTTTTTGCCAATATTAGGTAAATGCTTTTCTTGTTGCTCATTCTGTTAGTGCTTAGATGTAAAGGAAATAATATGTACAAACACTATGCTTTTCACTATAGAATGGAAATTATATGAAGGCATGAAGGTGGAGAGTGGGACTACAAAGATTTACAAACATGATGTTGATGCCATGGTAAGAAAAAAAATGGTTGTATGCACTCCTGCTGCTGGAAGTGTTGAGAGGGCTGGAAACTCTATTAACCAATATCTTCAATCAAACTCATATAACGTACGTATCAGGGGTTAGATTGATGCTTTAAGTGTTTAGAATGCCCGTTGTTTCTTATATGCTTCATTCATTGTATGTATTATATTCTGATTTTACACATCAAACATAATTTTATTGCAGGACGATACGAGATCGAGATTTGAAATCGTTATAAAAATTCAGAACCTTCCTGAGAAAGCAGGTTTCGCTATGAAACCCAAAGACACCGATTTGAATGACATAAATTGGTATGGCTCTCGGCATTCTGGTCATGTAGTCCATGCAAGTTGTCTCACATGGTCATATTTGGTTAGATCTATCATTACAAATATCAAGTGCAATAATGTCTTTTTCATTTGATATTTAATATATATATTGCCTATGTTTCTGTGACACCTATCATTTGATTGCACTAGTTTCTCACCCATATTGGATCAAGTTGATCACACTAGTTTGCCATTGGCATTGAGGCCTCATGCGTTTTCTGTTGCAGAGGTGAGTTACAATTTGTGTCTTTTTGCATTGCCTCATATATTATTTTTCCTTGGTCCTTATGTTGGATTAGTAACTTAAACATCAATAGCGGGTTCGGTTGATAATATTTTATTTTAGTTCGATTCCTTATTAACTTAAACATCGGCTTTAGCCTTTTTCTTCTTATATCTGGCATGTAAGCATGTGGTTTTTTCTCAACTGGTGGAATTTTCATATCTCGTACTGATTTGTTGTTTAGAAAAAGCACTTGTTCGGCACTCAAGGAGGGCTTCCAAGAACACCCTCAGCTCAAGGCTCAGCCGCAGGATCGAGATCGTTTCACACGATGGTGCAGGGGAATTCGAAATGCCATGGACCTCTTGTTTCGGCACCAAAATCAAAGGCTTTGAAGCCTGGGATGCCAAGGAGAGTAGGGTGGTTTTTATCTTTAGGGATAGATATCAGCAAGTTGATAAAACGTGTATGATTTATATTCTTTTGACATGAATTATTAGATGGTGTGGTATTCGGACATCAAAACTGAAACTTGCTCAAGTTAAATTATTTTATCAAGAAAGGTTATCATGTTGTATACTGAATTGCTTAGGAAAACCATCGAATCCTAACACCTATTACCTGGTCAGCATATTTGCTTGCTGCAACTTTGAGCCATTATTGCTTTTACGTTGTTTCAGGTATGACTTGTTAGGTTCTCTGAATTTTGTTTTGTTTGATTTTGTTACAATATTTTTAACAGTGTAAAAGATCATAACCTTTTATTTGGGGTTTAAATGTGAAAGACCACGAAGCAGATTTGGTAACGTCGTTTTGAATGTGTACTTTCATTATCCAAAGCCCCTCCCGTCTCCTCGTTTCATCCCTGTTATTTTAATGAGACATCAATAATAAACTGCCGTGCAAGCCGCCAAGAGGTTGTTCAATCAGGCCTTGAAGAAGCTGCCATCACAGTCGCCTACCCTGGATGGAATCCCCGCAAGTACTTCGCTTGTTAAGGTAATCCACCGTGCACATGCTGCAGAAAAGGCCCACGGTTACACCAATTTGGCTTATGATCAGTTGATTATCGGCCTTCTTGAAGATTCCCAGATAGCTGATTTGATAAAGGAAGCTGGTGTTGCTCCGGCCAGAGAGAAATTCGAAGTCGAGAAGCTGAGGAAATGAAGGGAAGAAGGTGGAGAGTGCTTCAGGGGACAGTACATTTCAAGCTTTGAAGACTTACGGAAGAGATCTTGTAGAGCAGGTAGGGAAACTTGATCTGGTGATTGGTTGAGACGAGGTCATCCAAAGGGTTGCCTGGAACCTCACTAGGAGACTAAGAACTTGTTCTCATTGGTGAACCTGGTGTTTGGTAAAACTGTAGTTGTAGAGGGTTTGTCTCAGAATTGTGAGAGGAGATGTTCCTAGTAATCTCAGTGATGTGAGAGTTGTCACCTTGGATTTGGGCACATTGTTTTCCGGAGCAAAATATCGATGTGATTTAGAGAAAAGATTGAAGGTTGTATTGAAAGAAGTCGAGGAAGCTGAAGGAAAAGTGATTCTCTTCATCGATGAAATCCATTTAGTATTCAGTTCTCAGGGATAACTAACCTCTTTAAGCCTATGCTTGCTCAGGGTCAACTTCAACGCATTGGTGCGATGACACTTGAGGAATATAGGAAGTTTGTCGAGAAGGATGCCACATTTGAACAAAGGTTCCAACAGGTTTATGTAGCTGAACTGAGCGTTGCGGATATGTCTGCCTCCTTCGAGGTCTGAAAGAAAGATATGAGGGTCACCGTGGTTTTAGTCTTCAAGACCGAGCCCTAGGGGTGGCAGCACAGTTATCAATCGCTGTATTACTGGTATATAGCAGGTTTCCTTGTAACAATTCATGCTCTAGCGCTCAGAATATTAGTACTTTCACTCGATACTTAGTTGCTTTGTTATTGTTTTTTTTATTCAGGACGCCATCTTCCCAACAAGGCTATCGACTCAGTTGATGAAGCTTGCGCAAATTTGAGAGCTCAGCACGACAGTCGGTCCATCGGTTAGGCCTGAACATATTGCAAAGCTTGTAAGCCGTTTGATTGGCATTCCTGTTACGAGGCTCAGACAGAATGAGATAGAGGCTGATTGGGCTTCCAGAGAGGCTGCATCAAAGAGTGGTGGGACAGAACCGAGCAATCAGCTGCTGCAGTGGCTGTTTCGAGGTCGAGAGCAGGACTTGGTTGACCTCAACAACCAACAGGCTCGTTTCTTTTCTTGGGTCCGACCGGTATGTTTATATCTGCTGACACATTTTTCTCTGTCTTTTGAATTTTTTCAGCTGGTGGCCATTATTTTCATTTATTTTTCTCATGATTAGATTTAATATCATCACGATTGATCAAAATAGGATTATTTTGTTGTCATATTGATCTTCTAAGCATTGTACTCGGATTGATTTAGATATGTCTTTTGTGTTCGTAAATAGTTTTCTCACGTCGTTTGACTCTAATTTGTGATTTATTGGTGGTCTTTCAGTAACTTCATATATTTATTTTATTCGAGCATTTTGATTAGGTTTTTTAATATTTTCCTTCTTTAGTTCTTCTGTGATTTAGATGACTAATTTTTATGTGAATAGTTATAGAAAAATGTCATAATTATACTTTCCAGTTATATTTATAATTTTTTTTATAATTTTAAATATTTTTTAATTTTAATAAAATAAAATAAAACTTTTAATAATTAAAACTCAACACAATGTATATATTATTTTAAATTTTTAATATTCAATATTAATAATCATTGTGAAACTGCGACCGATCTTTATAAAATGAAACTCCAACTACAAGTTGAAGTCACATTTGACAAGCTTATTTACTCTATCGATTAAATCCCCAATTTTCAATTTGTGCCGTTATTTCTAGGGAATTCCTCTCCCATATCTCCCGAGATGCAAGACAACATCCGCCAATTAGTCACAAACTCTTCAGTTTCCCAGCCCCCGATCCCCGAAACCAACGGCCAAGCTGCTCAATATGATCGTCAGTGCCACGGCTTCTGGTACGACGCCGTTTTGGCGGGTTCGGCGCTTCTTTTCGTGGTTTACCTGGCGGTGAACGCTAAGAAGAACGTTGAGAAGCTGAGGAACGGAAGGTCGTACGTTTTGATTTCCTATTATGCCCTTCTCTGGCTTGCTGCCGGACTTAACCTAGCTTGGTGCTTTCTCCAGGTATATCTCCTATTTGTTTTTTCCCCATTAAAAACGCATATGTCGTTTTGGATTTTATTGCGAGCTTTATCGAAATTTCTTTTGCTCTTTTATTCCTTTTTGTTACTGTAAATTTGGTGAATAAAGTTTTAAGAAAAGAAATTTGATTTTATTAGCATATGTTGATAATTTATCAAAGGATGATGACAAATCAGAAGATTGTGAATAAGCCTTACAACTTATGCTTAGTCAGTTTTGAATAAATATGTTTTTCTTGGTTTTGGTTAGCTTCTTGATTTAGTAATTTTTAAGCAAAATGCAAATAGGAGAAGTAACAATCAAATGGAGTTCTATTTAAAGCTATCTTACTCCGAAATTCTTTGTTTCTAATGAAGTATATGTATCTAATATGCGTGTCTAGTACATGAAAAACCTTTAAAAATATATTGTAGATATGTCAGAGTCAGACAGGCTTTTATTCGAAACTCATACCTGAGTCCGAGTAGTTGATTTAAACTTTTTCTAACCTTTTGCATATAAGGTATGGATATGATAATTGAAAGCATCCAAAAGTTCTTATTGTTTCACTCACAATTGAAACTTTAAAACATTGTTTGGAGCTGATTTTTATTAGTTTCTGATTGTTAAACTTGATTAATGAACAGTTATGGCAATGTGCTAATGGAAGGGAGATTGCTTGGAATCTTCTGTCACTATTAACCACCTCTGGGTTGTTATGTTTAGAGATTAGTTTGGTGGGTTTTTACTTCAGGAGAGTTATGCTAATGGGCGGGAAGCTTTGGCACGTATTTTCACTATCTCAGGGATCATTGTTGCCATTGACATGCTTCTCAAGGTAACTTTTCAATGTCAGTTGACAATGCTAAATTGTTGAGGTAGTTGTTCTCTGTAGTGTCAGCATTCATCAATAACATGTGATTTTCCCTTTTTGGGTAAACTTGAGAAGTCAGGGGCAGGGGAGCTATTTGGATGATCTTTATATTTTATCCAGAAAAAAAAACTAGAAGAACTAAGGCCATTGTTCCAAATCTTTTGTAACTTTCGGAACAGACCTAAACTGAGCTGTACAAGATTATTCTTCTACTTTGGAACGATGGATTCATGGGATTTTAATTTATTAGGTATACTGATAGTTCACACAAGCAGACGGACCATTTTGTGAACTGTTCTACTAATCAATTTCACTTGTGTTATTTTCAGCCTTCTTTCTTTTGTGATCATTTTGCAGGCAATCTATATTTTTGGATTTGGGGTCCCACTCTTCATTGATGATGTTGGAGGCCCTCACCGAATGAAGTGGGGGTTGTGGATCATTCAAAAATTATTACTCACTGCTGTTTATGGCTACATCTTGTTTGTGCATTTCTCAAAATGGAAACAGAGATTGCCCCGTGAGTACATTTTCAATTATATACAGAGCCTTTTTTCTCGATTGCACCAGCATTCTATAACTCGTCAACATTTTTTCAAACTGTGCAGCTCGACCCGCATTCTACAACTACGTAGTTATCATGTTTGCTGTTAATGGTATTGCACTGTTTAGTTCGGGGCTGGCTGCTATTGGAGTAGGCTTTAGTAGTTGGTAGGTTGTGTTTTTCTCTTTTCCTCTGAATGCAGCATCTGATGCCGAATAATTGTCGATTATTTCGCTCCAACTCATTATGTTTTATATTCAAACATGCATGTTTCTCAAATATACCTTTCAATTTCGATCCAAATCCGAAAACCCAATCAACAACGTGGACCCATCTGACCTAAACCTAATTAACTTGAACTTGAAATGTCCTGACCTGAACAAGCTACCCGAAATTATCCAACTAGAAGAAAGAAAAACCAATAGCCGGACCCAAATTTGAACGAAACCAAAATGACTTGAAAATTTTAGAGCCAGAATTGACCTGACCCTAAAACCAATCCAATCTGATGTTGGATGGGTATTCATATCCAACACTTATAACCAAGTCCGAGTAACATAGATTGACATCTGATATCCATATTCAGTAGAAAGAGACAAAGTAGGCTTTTCATGTTATAACATGCTGCTTCTTTTCTTCAGGTTGTACTATTTTGTAGTCATCTACTATCACTCGCTTTATCTCCCTTTCCTGTATACAACTTTCCTAGCCGACTTTTTCCAGGTAATCTTTTCCCACACATCGGTAACTGTCTTTAATGGTTTCCACCCTGATTGTGCAGTAAAGATAAACACAAATTTTTTGATGAGCAGGAAGAGGATTTTCTGTTGGACAATGCATATTACTCTGAGATGAGAGATGCCGGGTTCTTTGATGCTGATTGGGAATAGTGTCTGCAACACTTGGTAAGAACATTGACTGCATACTTTGTAAATAAATTCAAAAAGGTTAACAAGTAAATTTACCACTGTACTTATGAAGGTGATTCGTACTTCTTTTTTCTTTTCTTTTTTTGATTTAAGTTTGCAGTTAGGGGTGTAATCGAGTTGAGCTCAAGGTGTAAAACAAATTTGAGCTCGACTCGAAGCTTGGCTATAATTTGATTTATTTTGCTTTTAACTCTTGTGTTGGTTCATAGAAAATAAGTCGGGTCAGGTCGGGTTGGGCTATGATTATTATATAATTTTAAAGAAATTTTATGGAAATTATATATTTATAATTTTTGTAAATTTATACTTTCTAATATGATTCTTTTGTAATTTTATGGAAAGATTTTTACAATTTTTTTTTGGAAATTTGAGTATTTTAGTTGAAGTATCAATTTATTAATTTATTTTTCTATTGAAAATAATTATATTTTAATTTTTAATCGTTTTTTATATTTTAATTTTAAAAGTTCAATTTGCCTCAAGTTGAAAAATTTATACTCGTTAATTTGATTAATTTAAATTTTTAAGTTGATTTAAATTTAACTAACTATAATAACATAATGCTTCATTTATTGTAGGTCTAAGCAGCCGTATATTCGCCTATTGCATCACATGGAGGCTCCCCAAATATTTGAGAACCTTTGGTCTATGTTTCTTTGATTGTTTATTTTTCTTAAAGTATATGTGCCCTACACATATTTAGGGCTTGTACATGGAAAAATGATACTACGGTTCGATTACGTATAAATCTTACAAAACAAGTGTACATACTTGTGTCAGACTTGGACACATTTGTTTTATAAAATTTAATTTGCATTTGGATCCTGCATTATATTAATTCTTGTCGGGAAATAATAGGGTTGGTTTAAGTGGGAAGTAGTTTGATATTATTAAAGCAGGTCTCGAGTTCGAGTTTGTGTATGCAGAAAATTCTTGTCGAAGGATTTACCCACCAAGGTAAAGTGTGCAACCTTGATCGGTTCGTATTAGTCAAGATGAAACCGGAAGGAAAAAAATTAAATAGAAAAGATAAATCAAATTGTTGACCTTGTCTTGGATGAATTATTGTTTCAAAAGTAAAGTTATCATTATTGATCTAATTGTCATATTAGAGGTTGTCTCATAAAATTTATATGATTGGATTATATTTGATCTTTGTTATTATGCGTTCTTCTAATTTTGTACCAATTTGAGATAAATTAAGTATTATTTATTTAAATTAAAATAAAATTAAATAAATATATTATTATAATAATCTTCAATATTTTCCCATCAATAATTTTATTAACGGTGATTTAATTGATTGAATTTCTTAAGTTTAGTGACTTGATTATAAAATGTTTTTATTTAGTGTCTAGAATAAAATGGTTCTTATAGTTTAATGACTATATAGGTAGTTTACGCTTAGGAGAATCATATTCCAACAACTCGGAAGAACATACTTATCAATACACAAGAAGAGATCCGAAAGCAGTAACAACAAATCTCCATTCAATTCCAATCTTCTACATCTTTAAACCCTCAACGGTAAGCTCCGTTTTGCCTTCCTTGTTCATTTTCTGCATGTTTCCTTCCCCTTCATCTATGGCGGTGATAATTCCCTTCTCAGTTTTCGTTTATTGGATTTCTGAGAATTTTGATTCGCTAATGTTGTATTTGGACGTTTTCTCAATCTGGGTTGTCATTTGCATCACTTTTTTTTATTTTCCTTGTTATTTTCTGCATTTTTAATGTTTAGTGTTTCTTGTTTATCCGTCTTTCTCTTCATCTATGGTGATGATAAATCCTTTCAGTGTTTTCCTCTATTGGGTTTCTGAGAAAATGTGAGAACTTCACTTTATTAGTGTTGTGCTTGGATATTTTTCAATCTGGATATGGATAGTTAGTTGATTCTTTTGGTGGTATTGGAAGATTTCTTCATTGCTGTTTTGGATTGTTGGAGACAGATTAAATTATTTTGATGGAAGGATTGGTGGGTTCACGGATCATTCCGATTCGAGCTTCTTGTAGGCGGCATTACTCTGCTTTTCTCCCTACATTTTCCTTGCACATCAGGAAAAACTTGAATCAGGGTCAAGTTTGGATGATGAAACGTCCTAAGTCGTTGGTTCGTTTGCTGCTTCAATTCAACCGTTTGAACCCTCAACTTCTGGCCACATTGATAATAAGCAGCCTTCCAAAGGTTCTTGTCACATAAATTTCAAGTGGTTGGCTTCATATATTGCTTTAATTGAGGTCCCCCTAAAAATATTGGATGAAAACAAGAAAGGGGTTTAATTTTAAAGTTAGAATGCTCCGACTTTCGTTTTTCTTAAAGTATCCGTGTCTGTCACTTTGTTCAACACGTGAATAGGGGGGGACATGATCTCCAAGGATCAAGCAAACTATTTAAAAAAACTTGGGGAAACTCTGATAATACTCATATCAGACATATACTATTTGATAGTCAAACCTGAGTTTGAGTAATATAGATTAACTTTTATGTGGCTTGTGATAGTACTTATGATTTCCTTTATTGATACTCTCCTTTATTACATTCCAGAGGTTCTTAAGCTTTGGAGAAGTGCTGATGCAGTGTGCTTTGATGTGGATAGCACAGTATGCGTAGATGAGGGCATTGATGAACTTGCAGAATTTTGCGGGGCTGGAAAGGCTGTTGCGGAATGGACTGCCAGGTTCTTTGCCCACATTATTGAATTACTTCAATTCCTTTGGTGTTGTGGATCATAAATGGTTGATTCTTTTTTTCTTTTTTTTGGGTAGAGCGATGGGTGGTTCTGTTCCTTTCGAGGAGGCCTTATCTGCCCGATTATCTTTATTCAAACCCTCTCTATCTCAAGTCCAGGATTATCTCGACAAAAGTCCCCCAAGGTACGAGACTCATACTTCACTGGCTTGATTATATCTTGATATGTTCGAATGATCACAATGCTTCTTGGTTATGGATAGTTAGTAGTGTCATATTAGCTCGTTGTGCTAACTAGCCATAATTCGAATTAACCTTGCAATTTTTGTACTGCCATATGTTCAATATTTGCTTTAAATAACGTGACTTCTTGTTATATTCTGTTTTAGTTGTAATGTTTTCCCTGTTATTTTAATGCTGCTACATTATAATGAGCAAAATCCCAGAGCTTATAACCATTTGTCTCTAAAATTCCAGGGCATCAACTTCACGATGAATTAACCATTTTTTTTTGTGTTTGCCATTTTTTTGTCTTTTGTTCTACATGATGATTTAAGCCCGTGTTCATGATTCTTCTTATTGATCTGTAGGATTTCTCCCGGCATAGAAGAACTAGTCAAGAAGCTGAAGTCTAGGAATACAGATGTTTATCTAATTTCTGGGGGCTTCCGCCAAATGATCAATGTATGCAACTATGCTTCTAAATTCTTGAAAGGCTATCTATGTTTTACTTCCTTCTGTTAAGGCATTCGTATGGTTTCATTTTCTGTTTTAATGAACATGTATCTGAAATCACTTGCAATATTCCGATGGTATTGAAAATGAAAACTCGAACTTAAGATCCTGAACATTGGAAAACAATTAAACAATTAGACACGTTGCAAATGATACAGGTAAATGAATGGGTCTTTGTTTTGCAACCAAACAATGCGGTATCAGATGATCTGCTTTATCAGTTTAGAGTAATTATACAGCATGTAGGTTCCTTACTACTGAAAGCGCCATGTTATTTGATATTAATATAATCTTCAATAGTTAATTGAGAAACTCTTTTGTAGCCTGTTGCATCAATCCTCGGAATTCCACAAGAAAACATTTTTTCCAATCAGCTGATCTTTGGAAGTTCTGGAGAGTTTCTGGGATTCGATGCTAACGAGCCTACTTCAAGGAGTGGAGGAAAAGCTACTGCTGTTCAACAAATAAGAAAGGTGAGTTTTGTTGCAGTTTTCTGTATCGGCTGGCAAAAAGTTCTATAGCTGGGCCTGAGTAAGAAACGTTCCAGGTTAAGGGATACAAGGCATTGGTCATGATCGGAGATGGTGCTACTGATCTCGAGGTTAGAAAGTTCATCTAAACTTTTTCTTTATATATTTAATCTTTAAGGTTACTATATAAAGTCAATCAACATGCTAACTGTTAACTTTTGCATTTAATATAAGAATATTGCAATAAACAGAATGTTAATGAATCTTAAAGACTCATTTAAGAGCAAGATCACTTCATGTTCAACATCCTTCGACAACTTTATCAATTGTGTCAAACATATCTTGTTGTTTGTTTGAGAGAGTGACGGTGAGGGTGTCTCGGACAAATCCCGAGTCCATAATCTATTCAGGGTGTCTCAGAAGAATCCCGAGTCCATTGTCTATTCATTGATTTTATATTGTTGAGCACCTATTGGCTATCGAGTTATACAATGGATAAGGGCAATATCTGGGGGGTTTTGTAACTAAATCCCTTCATTATATTCAAGCAGCATTTTGCTTTTTCAATGTGTTTTTTCTAATTTGATTTTATTTTCGGTTTGCAACCTAGGCCCGTAAACCAGGAGGTGCCGACTTGTTTATTTGCTATGCCGGTGTTCAACTGCGGGAACCCGTTGTGGCAAAAGCTGATTGGCTGGTCTTCAACTTCGCTGATCTTGTAAATGCCTTGGAGTAACTTCCTTTCTTTCTGATTTACATGCCTTTTGCTTTTTCTGTTTTCCCATATAAGTTTCCTCCAAATGAGCTTTAAGCATTCATCTATGGTGTTGTTGTGAGTGTCGGATACGAGTACGTGTTCGAGATTAGTATATTTAACTGTTTCCAAGCTTTTCTATGTATTTGGAAGGCATGTTTCGTAGCTGAAAATGTCGAACGAGAGTGCGAAAATACGAAGACTCAAAACAAAATTATTGAGGAAAAGAAAAGTTGGAGCAACACAGTACATGAATTTAGCTTATGGACATGAATTGTATGAGATTTTTACATGAATGATCATTTATAGCTAAATTGTTACAAAGGCCCCTCAACTTTGCCATTGTATTTAAAATAGTCCTTTGTACTTTTCTTACACCTAATTACCCAAAGTTAACTCAATCGTCGATATTTCTGGTATCTGTTTTGTCTAAAGTTCATTATATGCTATTTATAGAAAACAAATTTTGATGAGCATCGGAATTAAATTTCTTTGTAAAAGTATAGGGACTAATGGTATATTTTGACCAAAATATAAGTATAAAGGTCTTCACGTCTCGACAATAAATTATCGATCGATACTTCATTTTAACGAAAATCTTGTCATTTATATATAAATTCTACTTACATAAAAGAACAATTTCATATAAAACATTATTATTAATATGGGTAAAGTAAATGGTCCCCTGATTATATAACTCTGATTTTTTGAGTCTCCTAATTACTAAAAGTTACGAAATGGTCTATTGACTATAGGATGTTACTTTTTTAATCTTTTGATTATTAAAAGTTATAAAATGGTCACCCGACTATTCATTATTTCCAAACATGTCCTTTTTCTATTAAAAATTTGACAACAGTCTAAGCTAGATGTTAATCTGCTATTTTGAGATATGATAAAAATTTAATTTCATAATCTCAAACGATTATCATATCTCAGTCAATATGTTAACGTCCAACTCAGACAACCATTAATATTTTAATGGAAAAGGACGGGTTTGGAACATAATGCATACTCAGATGATCATTTTGTAACTTTTTTAATAGTCAAGGGACTGAACAAAGTAACATCCTACAATCTAGAGACCATTTTGTAACTTTTAATAGTCAGGAGACTCAACAAAATATCGTCCTATAGTCGAGGGACCATTTGTGCACTCTACCCTATCAATATTTGATTTAATTATTTTAATCGATTAATACTTAATGTTTTGCATCAACATCGATTAAATGATCACAGAGGTAGGCGCAACCACTGCAAGTTATTAGATTCGAATTGCTATGTGGTCAGTGGTCTAACTTCTTCCTTTATATTTTTATTTATTTATTTATTTCAATTTGATTTTCTAATGCTATCAACGTGTCAAATTATACACGAACTAAATTACCTCAGCAATTAAAATGATGATTATTATCTTTAGAGGTCTCGAATCCGATCACTAACGACCCTAGAATATTTAAACATTAATTGTTAAATAACTAAGAACCTTCATAATATACACCGTAAAAAATACAGTGTTTGTTGTTAGAGACTTAGAGTAGTAGTGTATCTCGTTCTCGTTCTCGTTCTGAGTAATACCAATTTATTTTCATCTAACCATTACACTAAGCACATGGTGATTCGGGTGAAAATTTACCTTGAGTAACTGTAACGGTAACGAAATATAACTCTAGTGATCATTTTGTAAGGTTATGAATTTACGTGATTAAAATTGAATATGTAATATTGAATGACAGACTAGTGTAGTTTATCCTCATATTTATTTATTTATCGAAAAACCCTATGTTTTTAGTGTGAAAAAAAAAAGCTTTAAAAATTACTTTGATACAGCAAGGGATGCAGGTGAATGTAGCTTTGTTTAGATAACCAGAGCAAAGGGCTCTTATTCTTCCAAGGAATCGGATCTCAAAGATTCAACAATGAGAAATACATCTTCCTTTTAAACTTGGGTCTGCTAGATTTTGATTCAATACTCAATATGATTCTCAAAGAACACGAAAAGAAAAGAGGTAAAATCCCTTTCTTTTTGGTCCATTTTAGGTGCGAATTGGTTCTTTGTTGATTGTTCTTCTGCAGTTCTTAGATTGTTTTCAAATGGGTAAAGCTTGGCTTTTCACATCGTTCTCAGAACTGGGTGTTCCTTTTGAGGTTGCTTTTGTTGACGTTTAAGCTGTTTGTCTTAAGAAATGGGATTTCGTTCATTTGGCTTTAGTTGTAATTTGCTTCCAGTTGAATAAATATGGGTTCCTTGGCAGTTAATTAGGCTGCTCGTGTTTATGATGTAGTGTTCGATTGCCTGGAAATTATAGTTTGAATAAGCTGATATTTGTTTGTAGTTTCAGTTATCTATTTGGCTGTTTCTATTCCGATTTTCTTTGTTAAATTTCTGGAATTGTTGTAGGGATTGTCATCTTAGCTTTGTACATTGCATTGTGTTCTATGAGAACTTAGATTCAGGGAGACAAGGGAGCGAATCTGTTTCAGTTGATTCAGGTGTCAGATTTGTAATTCAAGAAGGTTTCGATGTTTTCGTCTCTAGTTAGTTAACTGTTGTGTTGGCGTGCTAAAGGCTGTATAACTTGTGAGACCGTGTTAAGCTTCATGGAAATTGTTGCTTTGAGGTTTTGGATGTTGAGGATTGATGTAAAGGTCAAGTTTCGTGGTGTCAAGCTCGGATAGTTTTCGATATTTCTGTGAACGAGCAGAAATGGGTTCATGGTTTGTTGCGGCAGCTGCTGCTGGATATTTGGCTAAATTTTGGCAAAATCTTACGACAGATAGAAATGGATTTCCTGAGGCTTCTTCTGCAGATTCCGGAATTGGGAAGGTTGTACCCGGGAAAGATCCAGTCCACAAATTTTCTATGATAAGGAAACTGTGGTATGATATTTCCCCAGATGGAAGAGAGTTTTCGGATAGGAAAATTTCGGATATTTACAAACTAAATGTGGCTTCAGTTGCTGAAATGGATTCTGCTAGTGGTTTCGATAGTGAAAAGATGGGGAGATCAGCACATCACATGGATCGCAATGAGATTTCTCAATCAGGTTTATCGCCAGGATCGTTGACAAATGAAAACCTAAGAGAAGATCAATTTGGAAAAGAGCCAGGTGCCGATAGCGGTAGTGATTCTGCTACTATCACTAGAATAGACTTTTAACGAGTCTATGCGGAAAAGAAGCTTTCTTAAAACTAAACATGCTTATGGGCGTGTACTTAAACCACTAAGCTCCTTAGATAGTTGCCTCATGGCTCAAATACATATGCAACATCTCAAAATGGAGGAGTACGTGCTTAGTTCCGTTCTGTCACCAGCAACACCGATCTTGAGACCTTTGCTGATAACCGATGGAAGCCGAGTAATCAACAGAGTAAGTGGTGATTTTTCTATTGGATCAAATAAAATCGAGGACAATAAACTGCATAACCAGGACGCCTTTGAAAAGAATGGATGTGTGTACGCGGTTTCTCCATTGCCAAAATTCGGTTCACCAGATCTCCCTGAGAAGTTGAAATGTAAGAGTGGAAATGAGCGTGATGGAAGGCCAAACATTTCTTACAAAATTGCTTCTGAAAAGCAGTTTCATTCACATTGGGGTACTTCTCTTACATTGTTTTTTCAATTTTTCTTCTTTTTATATCAATACTATAAGAATCTGTTCTTATTACTGAATGCTGCTTTTCAATTTCCAAATTTGTTATCTTGCAAAATGTGTAAGAAACTGAAAGAGAAGTAAATGAAAAGTATGTATAGCGTAGTGTAGATAAAAAGGACAAGCATGTTGCCATCACATTTTCAGATATGAACACGGTTGCATGAAATCTTGAGAGTGTCACCGTTCCTTTCTTTTCGTTTGTCATTGTTTTCTTTTCTGGGAGTGGAGGTGAGAAAAGCATATTAGGGTGGTAAAATATTTTACTGATTAGTTGGACCTCTTGAAGTACAACGAAGAAAGGGAATAAACCATCGAATTGATTACCTTTTCTCCTTCATTATAATGAACTAAATTGCATCCGAAACAGTTTCTTATACTTGTTAGTCGGACTTGGGAGCGATTATTAGATAAGGATATGTGTTTGATATAAGTGCTTTTTATTTTTTCTAAAGTTTTACCTTATAAGCGGAGGGTTGTTCATTGGAAATTTCTAGGATATGTGTTCTTGGAGAAAAATGAAGTCTCGGTAGGATGTTTAAGCCTGTTGAACCATTTATTGTTTTGGCATCTTATAAGATCTTTTCTGATATCAGTTAATGAGATGAGCTTAAGCTTTATGTTAATTTAATTTAACTTATTTGTTCTTTGTTCTCAATTCTGCATATAAATATGTCTCGAATTCTCCATTGCACCAGAAAAGCAACTCTTTCAGTCGCTTATTATCTTCGATGCATTTGTTTTAACTATGTATTCCATTCATTGTACTTATAATTTTTCTCCTATAATCAATTGTATGGCCTAACCATTTTATACGAAACAGGTCGTTATGATCGAGTGGTTCAGTTTTGTCATGGGATTTCTATCGGAATCATATGTTCTTATATAGGAAATAGAAGGGAAGTTGAGAAATTGAGAGGATTGTTAAAGCAGGCTGAGAACTTGGTTCAAGATTTTCAAGAGGAGCTCGAAATGAAAGATTCATTGACAGTGAAGGAGCTAGTCAATGAGAATTATGAATTACAAGAAACAGATGACAATTCCTTTACCGACAGGGACAGGGAAACGGTTTTGTCTTCCCTTGAATGTAATACGGATAATTCAGCAAGATTCGATGGTGAAGATCATATCATCAGAAGGTAGAGGAAAGTGTGGAATCTATGAGTAAAATCGAAGCAGAACTTGAAGCCTAACTTGGGAGGTTGGGGCTAAACATGGATGTACCAAATCATGATCGTAGACTGCCTGATTTTGTCGAGGTAAGCTTGTGTTTAACTTAGCATTGCCGTTGAGCTTTATATATAAATGGTTTAATGTATTCATTTTATTCATAGCATTTGTTTTACGTGGTCTCATATGGTTTTTTCTCATTATATTCAATAAATTTCTTAATTAAAGTTTCATGGGAGGATTATCCAGCTTACTGAAGATTTCTATGAAAAACCTACGGTCCTTGTACTATAAGTTGAAAAGTAAGTAAGTCCCATTTACCATAAAAGTGAGCAATTTAGTCCCTGTACATTTGGTTTTGAAGTAGAGGTATAAAGCGGCAATATAGATTTTTTCCTTCTTAATATATATAGTATGAAAAATGGTACGGTACACTACTCAACTATGTGACTCAAATATCGGAGTGATTGATACGGGAATGTTCATTTTCTTTGCTATACTATGTTTGAATGTGTCAAACACGAGTGTCGGACATGAAAACGTTAAAAAAAGAAAAGTCTGAGCAACTTTTTTTTTGTATGAAGATGATTCCACTTAGCTGTTTGCTTTGACATTTATCTGTCTTTAAGCTTCCTGGTATCGTGTTTGAATCAGATATGCTAATAATACAGCTGAAAATTCATGCAGATTGACCCAGATTTTGTAGCAGATTTTGCTGAAGGTGAATTGAGATCTGATATGGTCACCAGACGGCCTCTTGTTCAATCTATGTCTAATGAAGATAGAAGCGGCACCTCAACTACTCATTCTGCAAATTACGCTGTCTCTTCCCGAGAGTTGAGCTTGCGTTTGCATGAGGTGATTCAGTCAAGGCTTGAAGAACAAGTACAAGAACTTGAGACAGCCCTCGAGAACAGCCAGAGGAAGGTGAAACTAATGGAGTCAGAGCATAAGAATTCTAATAACAAATGGAAATACTCGACGTCATTGGAGAGTCCACAATAAATGAAGATCTCCATTGCACGTCGAAGCCTCAAGTCCCGAAATTATCATGGGAAACTCCAGATCATGTATACAATGAGGCTTATGAAGAGGTGACAGAAGAGGGTACACCATTTCACATTGATCGGAATAATCATCAAGAAAAGCTGCCTTGGTGTGATCAATACGATGCAAACAGATCAGATGGAACATTTTATGATCAGGTAAGAACATCGGAAGATCAAACTTCAAGGGTCCAGGAACTACTTGATGTGAGTGTAAGTGAAGATGATTGTAGTGATGATGAAATGGAGAAGCTATTGATACAGCAAATTGTGGAGAAAACCAAGAAAGGATCTCCTGTATTGCTAAATGCACAAAGAATATTGTTTTCCATGGATGAAATTTAACTTTTGAGAATCATATTGAAATCGAGAGACCAAAATTTTTGCAGTTTATACATATAGGACTTGTATTCTTTACTACATCAATTTCCAGTTCAACATTTTGATTCTAAGTTTTGAGCTAACACTCATCAAACAAGGATTTTCACAAAACTATAGTTCAACACAATCTATTTGGGTGTTACTTGGAATCGAGTGTGTACCGAATATGTGCAGAAATGAAACTTAAATATAAATGAAGAGTGGGAACGACATAAACCCTAATGAATAATAAAATAAGAAAAACCAATATGAACCCTAATGAATGCTTCTCAAATTGCTAACTAGTTCCCAAACCTCAGTACAAAATTAGGGTTTCTCCTAGGTAAACAGAAAATTTATTCCATTTCTTTGCAAAATATAATTAGATACCTCTTTCAAGATTTCAACTTCAAATATAGATCTCCAATGATAGATAAACAGAGTTTAGCATAACATTTTGCACCAACTTCAATGGAAATACCAAGTCATATGGGAAAAGCACATAGATCATGATCAAGAAAATGAAATCTTTAAAACATCACAAGATTCAAAGAACATTGTACAATGAAACTTCAAGTAAGAACCTTGTTAAGAAGTAAAACAACACACCCAGCGCTATCGACACTGGAAGAGCCGGTAGAGCTTTCTGATACAATGCCAACAGCATCAATGTAATGCCCAAACCAGCTACAATTGCAAGATAACATGCATACACTGTCATAAAATCATACATCGCTGCCCTACCGACTAACACACTGTAGAAGATGAAATCCCCTAGTCCAAGCTTGATAGCACCGGATGAACCTAACCCCATACCTTCTAGCATCAAGCTTTCAGCCAACACACCGTCTTGACCATCCATTCTGCGATCTATCAACGGTGCCGAAAGCTCAGCATCCCTTTCCGATACCTGCCCCTCTTCCACCCTGGCCATTCTTGTACCACTATGATTGGCTTGAACAATATTAGCAGTAGAACTCAAATCAGAAACAACATTAACATTTATGTTTGAACTTAAATTATCCTCCGAATCTAGTGTAACATTTTGCCTTCCTCTCCAAATCCGTCTTTGAACCGGCCCCGAAGCAGAGTCATGATGCGTAACCGGCCTAGCCTCGTAAACCAAGGCCGGGATATCTTCATCCCTTGACATAGCAAGCTCTACAAGGAGCCTTAAAGGTCCAACAGGCAACAAAACAGCAGCAAGGTCATACAATGCCAAGGCAACTAACAACACCCAAGTAGTCCATTCAGGCAAAAGAGTAAACCAATAAGCAACCAACATTCCAATCAGAACCAAGTACCCTTGTGTCACAATGATGGCCATTTTTGACATAAAAACAGCCAAAACACCAACAACGGCAAAATTAAACAAAAGCACCAAAAAGGTAATGCAATCAATGGGGACACTGAATTTTTCAATAAAAAACAAGGCAATTTCACCGCCCATGAATCCCAAAACAACAAAAGAAGAAAACCCCATGTAGATTTTCAAGAACTTAGTGCATCTGAGGTAAAAAAAGAGGACCAAAATGAAGGTAGCAACAGTGACAACAGCAACAAATGCTAAGGAATTCAAAAGGGCACCTAGGAATTTGTCCCAGGATGAATCGGAGCTGGTTTCTGAGTAAGCTATGGTTGCGATTGAAGTGACGGAAAGTGAAGAGCTTGAGTTGAGAATTGAGACCAAAAGGACGACTAGAAACATGCAGATTGAAACAGGGGTTAGGATTCTGATGATTTCTTCACCTAAGGAATCAAGGAGGGTTTTGGGTCTTTGGGTTTGGGCCATTTGGGTGCTCAAATTTGGGATAAAGTTCGAATCTTGGTGGAGTTTCTTCTATGATTTCTCGATTCCCCAGGTTCTTTTGTCCCTAAAGCTTGCAGGGGGCAAAGTTCTCTTGACCAGGGAATGGAGGAACTGGATTTAAAGGATTGTGAACCGTCGAATTATTACTTTTAAACGGTGTTTTTATATAAAGGGTTAATTATAAAATAAGTATACAAACTATAACGTTTTTTATGAACAGGTGACTAAACTATTTTTTTGAATAAATCTAGTGTCTAACGTTACAAACGTTGCTACTTTAGGTTCATGGGTCGTGAACGGAGTTAATTTTCTCCTAGATGATATGTGTCACAACCTAGTAATTTTAAAATTTATTTTTAAAAAAATATTAAAAGTATTATAATATTTATAAAAATCACAATTTCTCTTAAATTTAAAAAAATCTCAAAATCCCCAAATCTTAACCCTAACCCATCATCACTGTCCTTTCTGGCCACAGCCACCGTTGCTGCCGTAGTCCTTACCATCCTCCTAGTCATACGCTATCGTAGTTTTTGTCGATTGACCATCGGAATCTAATGGATCGTAATTTTCATTATAGGGTGTAGGGTATAAAACATTGATTCGTCATCGATCGGTCACGATTTCATAGGAGTTTTAGTAGGTGAGGATGGGTGGAGCTTCGTAGATACAAAGGGCGGCTATCGGCGTAGGTTTAGGGGTTGAAATGAAGGTTTTTAAATTTTGGGGTTATTTTAAAATTGTGTTTTTTAAATATATATATATATATATATATATATATATATTTTTTTTTTTAATTTTAAAGTAAAAAAATAAAATTACCAATTATACATGTGCCGCTTAACAGAAGAAATTAACGTTATTGACAACTCAGGCACCTAAAGTGGTAACGTTTTTAACATCAAGCATCGAGATCATTCAAAAAATAATTTAGACACCTATTGGTGAAAAGGGCTATAACTTGTACACTTATTTTGTATTTAAGCCTTATATAAATGATAAAGTACAAATTTCATCCTTTAACTTTATTCTCACTCATATTTTAATAACTTTATTCTCACTCATATTTTAATCAAACTTTAAAAATTCTTAAATCTATTATTTAATTTTAACAATTATTTTTTTCTGATCATTGTTATCTTTCTAATTTTATAATAACACTTTTGATTAATTTTTAATTACATCATTTTATACGAAAGTTACGATATCATAAGTCATACCAGGCATAAGTTAAATTACTCGAACTTGATTTTTCAAAATTAAATTTATTCGAACTCAAATCAAACTTAACATAAAATTATTCTTTTTTCCTCTTAAGGAAATTCGGGTTCTCCTCGAAAGAGAGATTCAAGAAAGTAAAAAGAAATTTTACAAATACCAAAAGTCACATAATTTGATCACATAAAAATTAGTTTCTCAGAAAGTAGCGACCATAACTAAATAACCAAACAACAATTTACTGCTACTTGACACAGACTTGCTTCATGCCCTTTTGGCAAAATCACTTCCATTCTCCTCGTCGTTGTCCCGGAAGTTCTCATTCATTGGCTCGTTTGAGTTGAATGCTTCTCCTCCCTCCTCGAAGCCATCTTCAGCACCATCGAATTGATCACCACCATCAAATCCCGTACTCTGGCTTCCATATCCAGCAGGACCTCCGGTGGCAATGTCACCAGCAGCAGCATTGAAATTCCCACAATAGAAATTGGTTGCAGCAGATTGATCAAAACACCACAATTTCCTTGGCCTCCATAGTTGTTACCATTAACGTATCCAGCATTACCTCCATAATTTCCAGCTGAGGGACTGGCATTTCTATTGTAGCCACCACCACCACCGTAGCCACCGCCACCATAGCCACGACCGCCATAGCCACCGCCTCCAAAGTTACGAGGAGGTCTCTCAGCTGCATAGTTCACTCTTACTTGAGTGCCATGGAGAACCTACAACAAGAAAGACAACCAAAATATCCCAAAAATAACTACCACAGATATAAGAACCAATGCTGCTATGTTAAGCATCTGAAAAATCAAACAGGGTAGGCAAAGATAAAACTACTGTTTTCACCCTTATCTATGCCAGACAGATTAACCAAGAATATTATGATGATAAAACATCTCGCATGCTAAATCAATTATTTATACATACATGCGCAAATTAAGGCCTACATAACATATTTTTTTCAAGTAATGAAAATTATTCGTAAGTTGAGGCGATTGAGAAAATTAATGTGGAACTTGTACTTCATAGTAAGAATTACTAGCAGACGTGAAAGTGAACCCCATACGTTGCCAAGGAAAAACGAGTTATAACATGAAAATTGAGGCCCTGACAGAGGAGATACTGTGTTTCAAGACGCTGATAGTGAACTTGAGTAGCATATATTAACACAAAATTAATTTGCGATACAATAATTCCAAATCTACATCGTTCACCACAGTTGGAATCTTAAATATCAAGCATTTGACATAGGCCTAGATGCAATTTGCAACCAACACAATGCAAAAGCTTTTACAATAGTTGCGGGGCAACATACGAAGAAAAGGCCCAATAGGATTACAAAACAGAAATTGCATGCATCATATTCTAATTTTGATCTCTTTGAACAAAGGTTTAAGCATATACGCTCGTTATAAAATACATTAGCATTCTATGAGGTTTACTTAAACAGCAGAAACCAGCGGATATTCCAAGACTGCCAATATGAAAGGAATAAGAAAATTCTTCAAACAATAGATACTTAGATGTCTTATATTACCTGTCCATCAAAGGCCTGTATTGCGCTGGAAGCATCCTCAGTACTGGTGTACGTGAATCCTCTAGACCTGCCCGTTTCTGGGCCCACAATTACTCTTGCTACAATAAATATCAAATTAATCAGCTGTTTTACACAGATAAAAGCAGTGGACATTAAACAAACTTGACTGCAAACTCAAAGTGAGTACACCATATGCACAAGCCCACACAAACTTGAAGTTAAAAACTTTCATTCGTTATGAAAACATATCAAAGGTGGCATCTAAATCTTCACCGGACATGCCATTATACTCAAAAACATGAACCAACACGACACGCTCGACATGTAGAGGAAAATATTTAAGCATCTCAAGGAACTTTAAAATCCCTTCCACAGTGTTAACTAGCAGTTACAAATTGAAATTAGCAAATACATTCATCAGAGCATACCTTCAACAACTTCACCATATTGGCTGAAAGCCTCTCTCAGACCTTGGTCATCCGTTTGATATGAAACACCTGCAATAAAAAAAATCAATAAGAAGCCCTAAAAAGAACAGGTAACAGAAAACAATTTGCTCCAAAAGTATAAACAAAAGCTGGACACGCACCTCCGACAAAAACTTTCAACTTTCGAGCTCGGTGAGTTTGACATGCACCGGAACACTTGAAAAAGGCCGGGCCTTGAAGCAGAAAACTGAGAATTGATCTGTGTAGTCGAGGCCTGCCTAAGCATATTCCCAATTTTACTTAAGAAAGCCATTGTTACAACCTAAAAAAAATGAACTTCACTTTCAGCAAATGAAACAGAAAAAATAGCAATAACAATAACAGTGAAAATAACTAAAGTAAAAGAAACAAACGTAGCAACCTATTTTACAAGATTTGAACTTTCATCCGTATTGATCTCGTATCTTTACCACCCTCAAAACCCTAGCCCACAATGCCCCAAATTTCTATTTTCTTTTCCGTGCTTTAATGGCACAGAACCAAGAAAGAAAAGAACAAAGCAACAGTTTAATATCGAATTTCAATCATCTCCCAAGAAACCCAATCCTCCATGATCTTATACAACCGAACAGAAAAACAAAAACAAACCAAGCAGATTATTACATGATAACACGAAACACTAAAACAGAAATCCAATAAAACGAAAAGTTAGGTAATAGAATAAAACGATACAGCAATGAGGAGAAACCCTTTCAAATAAAAAAGATGAACAGCCAAATCAACAGATCATCATGAAAAACGAGAAACTAGAGATATCCGAAAACAAAGTTTAGGGCTTTTTCGAAGCATAACCTTCTGGTTATGGAGCTGAACTACCGGGAGAAATGTATCTCTGAGTAAAAATCCTCGGGGATTATTTAGACATTGCGGCGTTCAGATATTTTAGCTGAAATTTTTCTTTTACACGTGTGAATTTTTTATTGGGTTGTCTTGAACACTCGTAAAATATTTGATTTTTTAGTTTTTGTTATTTAATAACAAATATTACATATATGATGTTTATAATATATATATATATATAGGCAAAATATATTAAATTTGTCACTAAAATTTTATTTTTATTTTTTTCACGTTTTTTACTAAATTTTTAAAAGTTATACAGCATTGGTAAGTTTATCAAATTATTCTAAATAATCTTTATTATTTTATAAAATATCATTAAGTTTATTAAATTATTATAAAATAATAAACAAATTTTATCAAAAAAATCATAAAATGATCTCTAAAATTATAAAACTTTATCATTACTATCATAACATCATAACGATCATTGTGTAATCGTTTAAAAATTCAATGATTAGTTTATATATTTTTTTTTAAAATTTAATGACCAAAAACTCATTTAAATATTTGTTCAGTATCCTCTAGTATACTTTACCAATACATAATTCGACTTTTATATACTATTTTTATTTATGATTATAGCATCCTCAAGATATTATTTATGAAAATGGCATCATCTTGTGTGATGTAGACAAAGATATACCTTGTTAAATACTCTTTTTATAGAATGTATTCGACGACTTTGTCTTGTGTGACATAATCAACCAAAAATGAAAGGATGCATAGTTTGCAAAATGTGTTTTTTCTTAGATTTTTCCATTTTCGATTTTCTATTTAGGTTATCGGTTCAAGGTTTTAAGGTCAGATGATTTTAATATTCTAGTTTAAAGATTTTTTTTTTTATAAATATAGAATAAATACAATGTAGTATATGATCAATCACTCCGAACCCTTTGACAATAAACCCTCGTACCCTTAGCACACGCTCATACCATTTTCGATTTTCTATTTAGGTTATCAGTTTTGTGATAGAGCAATGGTTTAGTTTTAAAGATGAAATTATGTTGTTAAATATAATAGGATCCTCGTCTATGAAGATACAGAATGATAAGAACCAATGATTATGGTTCCTGATTGCGAGATGCTGAAAGAGAGTTTCTTTTCTATTGTGACCTAATTTTTTATAATATCCACATCGTTTGAGGATGAAATCAAAAAATTTAAAAGTTTAAGGATTAATTTAGAATAAGAATCATAGTTTGAGGATGAAATTGAAAGATTTAAAAGTTTGGAGAATAACTTACTCCAAGTGAGGGTATAGTTTGAGAATAAAATTAAAATATTCAAAACATTTGAGGATCAATTTAGAATGAGAATCATATAGATACGTTCGAGTTGCAGTAGAAAAACGAGACAATATGTTCATAAAAAAAAGGATGAAATACAATCTATCATCAATAAAATATATGAATGTAATCTATCATCTCATCCATTTTTATACGAAGAGATCAACAATGCAATTTTATCCACCAATTGAGATGCCTTACCCTTATTCTTTCCATCATTTCGTGATAGAGGCGACGTCCATTCCTGGAAGTTATGGAGGCTCCCGGTGAAGTCCGTAAACAAACCGTCGACTCCGATCTTGTTCAACCAATAGTCATATTCCTGGTACGGGTCTTGATGGAAGTCGAAATGTAAAAACGAGTTTTCATCGCGGTAGGTGTATGGATGAACCTGTATCAGAAACCAATCACACACGGATGCAGTTGTTCGATACACCAGCAATGCTGACAACCGAAAGTTCTAGAGTTATAGATATGAATTACCTGCAGATCTCGGGCGTGTGCTCGGGCCACGAGATCCGTTGGTGCTTGTAAGTAGTTGTCTTTTACAGGAACCACTGTATCTTTCCAAGGTCCAATGCCGATCACATATTCCTTAATGAAGTCGAGATACTCATCCGATGTAATTTCCCAGTATGACTGAAATGCCGACCGTATTTTCTTTCATCAGAATTCCGGAATTCGGAAAGAGTTTAAATCGCGAGAGCAAGTTATAAAGAAACAAGATTAGTATCTTGGCTGTCCTAGAATGCATGCTGGGAAGCATCTTTGAAGGACTGCCCTACGGGAAACTAAAAGGGAAGAGAACAAAGGTGCATTCGGGACAAACCTGATTAGTATCCTGAGTCGGGATCGTAACGTCATCGATCAAGAAGATCTTTGGCGAGTCGGTAAGATTCGATACATATACAAGTGAAGTTGGAGCGAAGGACTGTATAAATAAAGGTTTTTCCAACCAATCTTTTGACATGTATGAACCTTTATATCCATATTTCTTGAGTGTCTCCACAAACTTGTCCTCAAATATCTTTCCGTTTGGCCATTTTACCTGTTGAAGACGTTGTTTCGAAAATCGAGGGAATCAAAGTTAAAAGAAGATATCATTCGATTGACAAGTTCACCGGATTTTAAAACAGAACCTAGTTTCACATGGTTTACAAATTGGAAAATACGAAAAACCAGTCCATTCTGTTGCAAATGATCAATTATGGTCTGGAGGCAGTCTCTGGGGAATAGGCGAAAAAAGTACTTACATGCTGGTTGATTAACACTGGATTTTTAATCTCAGGATAAATTCCAACAACTCTCGGTGCATCTAGCGCAATCGAAATGAACTCCTCAAAAGTGATAATCGGGAACATTCCTGTCGAGTGCACAAAAACAACTCAAATCTGCCTCGAAAATAGCCGTCTTTCACAGCTAAAATCAAGTGCCATAAAGTCCACAGCGGACAATGTGGATCAAGGAAATCAGAAAAGTTCTTAACAGCATAACTTGATACAAATATTTAGCTGGGGGATGTGAAACCAGCAAGCAGAAACGAGCTGCTAGTTCCATTTCGCATACAAATGGAACCTCAATCTTTTATAAGTTGGTGTAAATAGATCCAAACAAATAAAAATCCAAGGGGAACTAACCATCATACTGCTGATCCCGGAATTTGTACCGCTGCTTGACCCGTAACTTCTTTAATTCCTGTAGAGTGAAGTCAACTGCGTATATGAAGAATAATTTTCCATTTTCAGCTGGATGAGAAACATATTACTTGGAAATAAATACAAAACAGTACAAATTCAGAATTTTCAGAGAACTAAGGTGTTGTACTAAACATATTGCTCGACTACAGGATTTGGCATCTCTACAGCACCATTATAAGATGGAAAAGGGGCTAAAAGTTGTGTGCTTCCATACCAGGAAAAAAGCCTGTCGTGTTGACCCCTTGAACATCATAGGTCCTTTTACGATTCACAAACTCTTTGTAATCTGCGACATCAGTTGTCTCGTCGAGGGTGACATCATGAAAACATATAAGGACACCATCTTTAGATGATAGGATATCTGTTTCTATGAAGTCTGCACCCTCTGCAATAGCTCTCTGCAAGAAGCGGTATACAGTGCCAAATAACTCATTCCATTGCACAAACAGAAAGGCAAAGCATATACAGTAGTAGAATGTTCGAAACATACCATGTATGCAGCAGCCGTTGCTTCGGGGATCTCTCCATTTGAACCTCGATGTGCGATATTATACGGACGCGAGGTTTGTAGAGGCTTTCTATTTCGATGGGCTATTTTACTAGGAAGTGGATAGAAAGGCCTTGCGGTACAGGCAGCAATGAGTAATAGACACAAGAAAGGGACAAAGCCTGCATTGTTTCATAGCAATTTACTGATAATTCATCAAAATTGGGGCAAAGAGTGCCATGATCTAAAGAAGCAGAAGCTGCAAGCTACTTTTGAATCTATCAAACAAAATTTACGGTGGATGATCATTATCCTTAACTGATAGATGCAAAGGCTAGGAATTAATCTATGATCATATTCAACAATGAACTGAAAACCCAAGAAAAAGGGGGAAATATAATCAGAAAATGGATAAATGGAAACAATCATATAAGCATAATAAATACACGAAAACCCAGAAACTAAACAATCAAACTAAAAAAAGCAGCATAAACCCAGAAAAAGTTAAGCACGATCAAATCTAACGTTATGAAAAAAATCAATGGAAAACTCAAAACTTACCTCTAAAACTCATTGCCTTACCCCTCGAACAATAAACCCACTCCTCGAAGAAGATGAGATCCCTAGTTTTGAACTCTTTTCTCAACACTAAACTGTAGTTTGTAAGGTCCGAGATGATGGGTTATCAGTTAAAACTTTCCATAATGATAAAACGAGATGATGAGAATATTCTTTGTAGTGTCCTATTTTACAACGGAAACGATAAAAATAAAGTATAAATTATACCGTTTGTAACTTAACTTTACTCTCTATCCTATTCTACTCACCATACTTTCAATTTTTTTAATTTACTCACTGAACTTTACAGATTGAATCATTTTGTTCGCTCCTCTGTTATCTCTCTAACATTGTGATGCCATGTCATTTTTTGTTATCGTTTAATATAAAATAATTGAAGATATAAAGAGTAAATTACACTGTTTTCACTAAACTTTACTCTATCTCATATTTTGCTCACCTAATTATAAAATAAAAAACAGAAGGTGGTCAGATGCCATTGCTTACCGCCGTAGATGATGGTCGTTCAGTCTCAAATTTCATTATCCGCTTCGGCTAGACACCTTGAGTTTGAATTCGACCTCTATTTTGTCAAACCTTGCTCCGAAGTCCACAAATTGGAGATTAAAAGAAAGGAAACCAAAACGTTTCAATCGAGATTCACGAATTTCATGATATTTTCCGGTGAAACAACCACCAGATTCGAACTCAGGGGGTCGATACGAACCGACCAATGAATTGTGAGACCGAACAACCACTATCAATGACGGTAGACGATGGTCGAAATGAAAAATAACGTAGTGGTCTGCTGTGGAAACCAGTTACTTTATTTGCAAAATAGATAGAAAACGAGGGGAAATAAGAGGTTTTGAAACGTGGGGTCGTTTTGATACTTGTGTCATGTCATAACACAATTAAAAAGTTAACGGTAAAGTGAGCAAAATATTCAATCTATAAAGTTCATTGAACAAATTTGAAAATTTAAAAGTACGATGAGTAAAATAGGAGAGAGAGTAAAGTTCAGTGAGAAACGGTGTAATTTATCCAAAAATAAGTCCCTTTACCTTTGAAAAAAATCAACGTGACTCTCTATTATTTTTTTTCTCAGTGTGGCCCTCCAACTCAAAAAATAAACCTAATGTGACACTTAGACCAACGTTTTTCATCGTTTGACCATTACGGTGTTGATGTGGCAATTCACGGTTTTGACGTGACAGTTCAAAGTACTGACATAGCGATCTACGGTACTGTCGTGACAGTTCATCTGTCATGTTTGAGTTATCAATTTAGTTCATCTATCACGTTATCAACCACCATAGATTGTTACTTCAACACTATGGACTGAACGTCAACATCGTAATGGTTAACAACGAAAAACGTTGGTCAAAGTACCACATTAGACTTATTTTATGAGTTAAAGAGCCGTATTAAAAAAATAATACCAGCCCCATTAGATTTTTTAAAAAAAGTACAAGGTATCTTTTCTTTTCTGATTGGTTGGGGGAGGCATCGGGAAACTAAAAATAAAGTTGAACTACCAGTTTTGCGTGACTGGTTGATCATAGGCATGCAAGATTTTAAAGAAAATAAGACAATGAGTAAATACCCTAATTTACCCTTACATCATTTTTAATAATTATTTATGAAAATAATATATTCTTAAAATTATTTATAAATATGGTATCAATATTTTCTTAACAGAAAATATATCCATAAAACTATTTTGTTTTTCATAGCATTGAAAGGGTTAGAAAAATGCATCGAAGGATCAATTTAAAAATAAGAGAGAAATTGAATATATTTATTTAAAGAAAGAGTATTTATAGTATGTATCGAAGGTGTATGTTAGCACGAACAGGAATACGATCTGATCTAGTGGTGGTTATATTTATGTGTGTTTCATCTTCGATCATTCTATGTTAAAAAAATAATATTTAAATATATATTTTTTTAAAATAATTATATTGAATTTATTGTTGATTTTTTTAAGATTTTAAATACAATCTTTTAATATATGTTCAAGCTTGTTCTTTTCCGTTAGAAATTTGACAAAAGTATGAGCTGAATGTTAAATATATGGATTAAGATATGATAATTTTTTAAGATTACAGAATCCGATTTTATCATATCTCAATCAACATCTAAACATTCAACTCAAATTGTCGTCATTTTATAATAGAAAATGATGAATTTGTGACATACTAGATAGTCAAACGATCGTTTTGTAACTTTAATAGTTGGGGGACTAAACAAAGAAACAACATATACAATCTTTTGATATATGTTTAAACTTGTTCTTTTCCGTTAGAAATTTGACAAAAGTATGAGCTGGATGTTAAATCTGTTGACTAAGATATGATAATTTTTTAAGATTATGGAATCTGATTTTATCATATCTTAATCAACATGTAAACATCCAACTCAAATTATCGTCATTTTCTAATGAAAAATGATGAATTTGTGACATACTAGATAGTCAAACGATTGTTTTATAACTTTTAATAGTTGGAGGACTCGACAAAGGAACAACATATAATCGAAAGATCATTTTGTAAAAGCTCAACAAAATATCACCTTTTAATCGGAACCATTTGTGTACTTTACCCTTAGTTATTTGATTATGGAAACTTACAAAACTAATTGAGTAAACCGGATTTCAATTTACTCCTTCAAAATCTAGTAAAGTTTATAGGATTAAATTGGTTTGATCGACTCTTTACACATTATTACAAAATCCATGCAAGCCAAACGAGATCATAGGTCGCCATACACTCGGTGCGACCTTGTAGGTCGCTATGCAAGCGGCTCGAACTCCTCTGTGATTTTGCTGAAATCACGACAAAGGTGGCTCTGCCTCCCTCACCCCTGTCTCCCTCATGAATGCAGCAATGAAATCACGACAAAAGTGTTCTATACGAGCTGTGGCGAGAGGATGAAGCTTTGCTACGAGCTGTGGTGAGAGGATGAAGCTTTGCATGCGCCATGCACGTCGGAAGAGGTCGCCATGCACGTCGGAAGAGGTCGCCTGCATGCAGTGGGCAGCAGGCGAGCATGCAGCGGGGAGCAGGGCGTAGGACAAGGTCGCCCAGCATGCATGGCGACCTACCATGTCGCCTGGCGTGCATGGCGACCGACAAGGTCGTCCGGAGGGCATGGCGACCTATGCTGGTAAGCTGCCACACCGTAGGTCGCCCGGAAAGCATGGCGACCTACGGCCAACACTGTGCAATTCACCCTATTTGAACAATTAATCTTGGGAGTACGTTATATCGTTAAATAAAAAATTCGAGGACATTATCTCGAAAGTTTTGCCCGAAAGATAACCAATCATTACATGCCACGTGGGCACTCAACCACTGAAAACCAAACCACGATCCTCACCGTCTATCCATTCATTTCAGACAAGGTTCTTTCAAAGAATCAAGCAAACAACACACATCCTCCATTGCGGTAAGAAAATTTTGGAGAGAAGAAAACCAGACATGGAATCCACAGATGTTCTAAGCAGCAAAGGAAGCCAGTTTCTACTTCCTTGGAGGATTCCAGCAAAAAAGCAGTTTAAATTTCTCACCTTTTCTCATTCAATCCATGGCTACTCCGAAACCGTTGCTGTCTGTTGCTAGGACTGTTGGTTCCAGAAAGGTCAGGTCTTTCTGCAGTTCATCCCCTCTCTGTGTTCTTACTGTTAATTGGTGTTGTTTTTGTCTTGGTTTCTCTTGATGTTTTCATGTCCGAATACTAACTGTACAATTTTATGTTATAAGACGTAAATTTAAAATTTTATATTATAAATTTAGACATATAAAATTACAAAATTTCAAATATTAATTAATAAAATTATATTATAAATTTAAAGATCGCAAAATTCAAATCAACATTCCTCTATACATCTATTGACGACATTAAGGGTGCGTTTAGTTCACGAAATGCAAGATTAACAGTGGGAATGTAAGATTACCAGGGAATAAGATTACTGAGAATGTTGTATTTTGTGTTTGGTTGGCTTAGCAGGAATGTAAGATTATCATGTTTGGTTAAAAGAATAAAAGATTATTAGAATATATATTTGATCAAATTGTCATTATTATTTATTTGTTTTTTTAACAAGTTAGAAAATATTTATATATTTTCTTTAAAAAAATTTAAATTCATAAAATTTATATAATTTTTTTTACAAAATTGAAAATATAAAAAGGTTTAATGAAAGGGTAATTTTTTTTAACCCCTGAACTTCATATAAAATTTTAATTATAGATTTTTTTTAAATCTAAACTAGTTTAAGAATAAATTTGTAATTTAACCTTCGTAGAATTTTTATTATTCAATGACATAATAATGATATTTTTGAAAGAAAAAAAAAATTAAGGACATTTTAGTCCAAATCGCCGGTAATCCAACAATACCTAAGAAAATTGAGGTAATGATATTCCCGGTAATATACCCAAAAAAATCCACTATTGGTAACCTTACATTACAGGGAATGAGATTACCGGGCTAACCAAACGGGAGAATGTAGATTTCATTTCCATGGGAATCACACATTCTCTCATCCAAACACCCCCTAATAGTATAAAAGAACGGTGTTCTCTTAAAAAAATGTCAATTTCGAATAATTATATTTTGTAATATTTATACATTATTATTGATTAAAAAAGAGTCTCAACATATAATATTATTAGTAATTAAAAAATTAAAATATATAATAATTTATAATCACCCTAAATTATTAAAAATAAGATAAATTACGTATTTAGTATCTAAATTATCAATTTTAGTCCATTTCAGTTCTTCAACTTTTAGTTTTTTTTAGAATCATACGCAATGTTTAGTTTTTGTTTCATTTTAGTACCACACTGTTAAAAATTTAATGTGTTTAGTACCTAAATTATCAGTTTGGTCCGTTTTAGTACCTAAACTTTCAAATTTTTTTCAAAAAATAATGTTAAATTTTGAACATGGGTATTAAAATGAAATAAAAACTAAACTTTAGGTATGATTTTAAAAAATTAAAAGTTTAGGTACTAAAACAGATCAAAACTAATAGTTTAACTACTGAAAGTGTAATTTACCCTTGAAAACAATAGTATTCGTTGGTTCATTTCTGCCTGAATCTGAGTTTTGACATGTTTA